GGAGAGGGAGAGTGGGCACACACATACTGAGAAAGGGAAGGGAAATTACCAGAGGAAAAGCAGGAATGCCCTTAGAAGAAGGCAGGGGAATGGACAGGCAGATTCAAAATATGCCATTGACAGGTATGCCATTTCATTACTGAACTCACGACCTTCTACCAAACCGTTTTTTACATTCTGCTGGGAGGAGTTTGCAAAGATCCAACATGATATTAATTTGTCCCTGGGTACAGTACATTTAGAAGATTCTAATACCAATCAGGCTTGTGTGCAAATGAACACATACAACCTTTAAACTTGACCGGAACAACAAAGATGCTGCAAAGACAGATGAGCTGTTATTGATTGATTCGTGCCCTGCAGGGACCCAGCATTTGTGCAGCTCCTCCAAATTACAGGCAGGTGATTAATTTGAAAGTTGGCAAAGACAAGTACTGACATCTGCTTTTCTCCAGAGATTCAGAGCCATCAGCCTGGTTGAGAGCCTAGTGAACATTTCCTGTACACCCATCAAGCATGTAACTCCTCCAGGCCTGTGATTGGTTTTAACCACTCACCAGCCTTTCCGTCTCAGAGATGGATATGCTTGATGCATGGGACCATCTGTTGCCGAAAAGAAATCCAGTTCAGTCCGTTAGTTAGGCTGCACTTTCGCATACCTGTCACTGACCGAGTTCTCTGAGATGTAAGATCCTTTGAGGATTTGCTTGACTACTGCACATGACATCACTTAAGGCCAAACGCAAGCTACAGCTGTGACCACAGTTCAGGGCTACGTCTGTAGGTGATCTCTCCACTACCTCCTTATCTTCCATTCCCAAGGCTGGTTTTCCCTCCATTGAATTGATCAGTGTCTTCTGTATCCAACACGGTATATTAGGGGAGGCAGGGTGTCAGCAGGTGTGTGTGTGTGTGTGTGTGTGTGAGAGAGAGAGGGAGAGAGAGAGAGAGAGAGAGAGAGAGAGAGAGAATATGAAGGAGGAGCTGGGGTTCCTAACTATCATCCCCATCTCCCACCCTAGTCGAGAACCCCTGGTTACAGTGACTTTGGGGTTCACGGGCCTGTATTCAGAGCCTGGCTTTCTAACTCACTGGCAAGAGCTCAATTTCTCTTCTATAAAATGTAGATTGAAAAGAGACTCCTCATTGCTTGTTGGGACGATTGGGTGGAATTCTTGAGAAGTGCCTTACACATTTATAAGGCTGCATATGTGGTTACAGTTTTATTTTTCAAAATTATTTGTGGTTTTGTGACTGTGGAAATAAAAATTATATAGATGTGAGGCAATACAGAAGAGTATAAAACAAAGGGTAACCAATCACCCAGAGATAACACCTATTCTTTGACATATGTTCTTCCAGTATTTGTTATGTTTTCATATAGTTAAAATCATATCGAATACATAACTAACAGAGTAATAGCTGTTATTTGGTGAGCACTTAAAATGTCCTGGGAACTGAACTAGATGCTTTATATATGGCACTTTATGAGTCTTTACGATCCCATTCAGAAGGCATTATCATCCCCACTTTAGAGATTCTTCTCATGTTGAGGAGGGGTGTGCTTCGCCTGGCTCCCTAGTGTGGAATTGAAAAGCTTTCCTATATTAAGCCAACATTTTACTCAACAACAGCCAAACTAAATACACATTACCACGAGCAAAATGCATGCACCTGCGCTTGCCTTTTCCCTCCCAGGAGCCCCTAAGCTGAAATTCTGCCCTGAGCCTGAGTATGCAGATCATTTGCCTGGATGTGAGAGTGATAATATGACTGCCCCTCAGCTGATACCCTTAACTCTCTCAGAACATTTTTCATCACCAGAATCAGCGATTCTGTGTATAAATGTGTTCTAACCTTCAGAATGAGCTTTTAGGAGAAAAAAAAAAAGAAAGAAAGAAAAAGGTTGAGTCTGACCAGAGGATGTTCCTGTAGATATGTGGTAGTTGTTTGGGATTTGGGGAGCCTTGAGGACCCCTTGGGATTTTCCACTAGAGATCTTCTGTTCTATTCATCTGACTTCTGGTTCTCCCGAGAACTTTGAGCTGGGTAATGGGGTAATGGTGGCAATGGGGTGGTATTATTATTAGGATTGTGTGTTCAGGAATGCTGAACCGACCCAGATACCCCTCCTCTGGTGAGGTTGCCCAAGGGGATATCATATACCTCAGAGAGAGAGCCATGGGAAGTTGGCATTCCACTTTATTGTTAGACAGGAGCCCTTCCCCTTCACTCTCCCCCCCCCCCTCCCCCGCCGTGCAGAGACTGGTACGTATGCTGGAGCACGTGTCCTAGGCTAAATGCATGGGTGGGGCCTCTAGGTGATTCTAAACCAAAGTGACCATCAGGGGCTTTTACTGTTCAAAGTATTTTACTGTTCAAATGTATTGCTGGTCTAAGGGCCGCAATTTGAGAATCAGCGTGGAAAACAAATCTACCTTGGGGGGTTTGGGGGTGGGGGTGGAGGTGGAAGAGTGTATAGGGGGGTAAATGGTGATAGAAAAAAATAAAATTAATTAAACTTTTCAAGAAAGAAAACAAAACAAATCTACCTCTGCCTTCTGCGCTTATTTTGGTCCCGAGGGTCATTTCCTGCCAGCTCCTGCTCTGATACACATGATCTCTGCTTGTATCTGCATGAGCCCCTGCATCACCTGTTCTGTCCCCAGGAGTGGCCTGAAAACCGCCTGGTCTTCTCATGCAGCCCCAGCCAGAAATTGCTCCAGGTAGCCAAACCTGAACGGAACCTTAGGCTGCCTCCCAAGCTCGCCCTCTGCTGGTGGACAAGGGTCATTTTCTCCGAAACCTTCACCCCGCCTTTCTTGCTGCTCAAATACTCGTTTTCATTTCCCAGTTAACACAGCAGAAAAGCTGAATGACATATTCCAGAGGTTTGTTTCACTCTTCTAGACTTGGGAGAAATTTTCCACTCTGTTCCTTCGAGTGGATCCCTCAGATGGGGGAGATAAATGTTTGATCAGCACTTACTAGGAACTTACCATTCTGTGTGTTCCCTCCAAGTTCTCCCCAGCCTGACTTTGTTACCATCCCTCCCAGGCACTTTCTACAGCGGGGTGGCAAGCCTTTGTGTATTCTTGCAGCATGATCATTGCAAAATCAGTGTCTTTTGATGCAGGGTTGGGGTTGGTAGTAGAGGCAACACAAACACAGAGATGTCAGGGGCAAAAGAACATTCAAGAGAAGCATGGGGAGCTGGGAGATTCCTGCTACCGGTCATATCATCATTATTCATTCATTAAGACGTTTCTCAATCACCTGCCTCGTGTATGTGACCTGGGACCAGGAGCTGAGCACGCCTACCCCTGCACACAAAGAGATTGTAGCCTACTAGGGGAAATAAGCATAGTAGCTAACACTTAGGGAGTGCTGTGTGCCAAGCAACATACTTACATCGCCTCATTTAATTTCATTTCATCCACACAGCAATCCTGTGATCACCCTCATTGTACAAAAGAGAAAATTTGGGGTGCAGAGAAGCTGAGTGACACTTTCAGTTGGTGATGAAGTCAGGTAGCTTAAAATAATTGGTTAATTTCCCTAACGGGGCTCTGGGGTTTGATGGGCTTGGCTGGCTGGTTGTTGCTTGGGGTCCTTTATTCAGCGGAACGTATACAATCCCATAGTGGCGAAGGCTGAGTTTCATCTCCGGAGCCAGGGCTGGGTGTCTAAAGCAGCAAGGGCTGAAGGGCGTCTGTCCTCGTGGCCGCTGTCTGCGTGCCTGGCTTGGGCCGCCTCACAGCTTAGCAGGCAGAATGGCGGGCCATCTTGGATGGTAGGTGGCCAGGCAGAAACTGCAAAATTTCTTACAATCTTGCTTCTAAAAAAGCATACCCCACCATTTCCGCTGCATGCCGTTGGTCAAACAGTTACAGGTCGGCTGAGGCTCAAGCAGGTGTGGGCTCGATGTCTCAGTGGGGAAAGAGCTTACAGTACCCGGGGCAAGGAATGAAGACCATCTCGGAGACACGTCACCACAGCAGGTGGGGCCCCCAGCAGCCTGACTCCAGCCGTGTGTGCGCCACCACCACGCTGTACTCACTCCCACTGATGCAGACACAGTCACACGACACTGCTGGTAGAGGGTGACATAGGAAGGTCAGAGAACACACACGCCCCTCCCCTTGGTGTGGAGCGCAGGAGGCGACCGCCCGGGGTGACCAAGGCTGAGGGCGAGAGGCAGCTCCGAGGCATCCTGAAGAAACCACAGGCCTGGAAATGAGGAGCCGAGACATCCACCATGTAGTTCTAGGCCCATGAAAGGAACCCGAAGGCCAAGAGAGGGACGAACTAGGGGTCCCAGGCCTTTCAGAACATCACAGAATGGAATTTCTGACTGCGGTCTCCTCCCCCTCCCCCCCTGCCCCCCCAGATTGGAGACCCGCACCTGGTCATCTGCATGGACTGCTCCGCAGACACCATGACCAACCGCCTCCGCCAGAGGAGCCAGAGCAGCCCAGGCGCGAGCAGCGCCGCCGCCGTGGCCAAGCGCCTGGAAGCCTACCACCGCGCGTCCATCCCTGTGATCGCCTACTACGAGACGAAGACGCGGCTACAGAAGGTGAAGCGTGTCCCTTTCCCCCTCCAAATGAGCCAGTTCCCCGCTGTTTTTTTTTTTAAGAGAAGAGAGAAAAAACACAGGACATTTTTGGTTCAGGGACCTGGGAATTGGAGCTGCATACCAGTTGCACAAGTTGGACCCAAATATGGGTCCCTTACTCTCTTCACTTTTGTATCAGTCAAAATTAAATATTTGCCATCGCATGGACCATGAAATCTGGCCATGCAATTTTCATAGGTGCCTATGGCTGAAAACAGAGATAGGGAAAGGGGAATGAAGGGAGGGAGGGAGGCATGGATGAGGCATAAATTCTGCCTTCTAGACCTTGGCTGAACAGGAAAAAGGTCTCTTCTAGATCTATGATCCAACGACTTTGAATTTCTGGATTTTTGCAGTTCATAATTGGCACTTGTCTCCTTTGCCTCAATTTTTTGCAATAACTGTTATTGAAGGAAGCATTATATGGGGCCAGAAGAGTAGGTAATTAGGTGAAACAGTGAAGATACTGTGGGGAAATGAGTCGTGTCACTTAATGAACAATAAGCCATGCTAAGTCACCATTAATTTCATGAATTTGGGGAAACTACACAACCGCCATCATTCACTCATTTTACAAACATAAACAGGCATCAAGCACCTCCCATGGGCATCCATTGCCCTAGTGGTTTGGATACAGGTAATAAGGCGTGGTTCTTGCCTCTAGAGCTGAGTGTTAGTAGGGGATATAGACAAACCTGTGACCACAGTACGGGGTCAAAGTAAGAACTGAGTGATTTCTAAGGCCCCTTTAACCCATTCTAAGGGGAAAGGAAAGGCATTGAGGAAGGTCAACTAAGTTGATCCTCAAGGTGGGGTAAGATGTGAGGGGAGCAGGGCACCCCACATGGAAGGATCCCCCAGTGAAAAAAGTCAGGAGAGACAGGAACTCAGCTGGGCTGGGATGTAAAGTGCCAAGGAAAAGAGGAACAAGAGAGGGGGCTGGGCAGGCAAGCAAGGACCAGATCCAGATGAACCTTATGTAGGAGTGACTCACTGTCCTGTGGGTGATGGGAGTACTGAAGGGAACGGACATAGTCAGGGTTTTCATTTAGAAAGCTCACTCCATTGCCTTGTAGAGAACAGATCCCAAGAAGGTAAGGCTAGGAGACCACTGGGAGGCTGGAACAGTATTCCAGGAACATCCTGAGGCCCCAGGGCAGAAGAGGGGTGTGAACATGCACTTTCTGCTATTCACAGTAAGTCCGAGGGAGACGTCAACTCTCACAGAACAAGCCTGTCTCCGAAGCAGCTGCATTATCGATTCCTTGGGGCTGGGGGGGATGTTTGATACTGAATTCTCATTTTCTAAACCAGTTAGTGGTCCATTTTCCAGCATCTAAGGACTTAGCCCTGGGTATAGAGGTCTGAAAGGTGTTCCTTGCTGTAACTCAGCGATGTGGAGCACGTGGCATGAGAGTCACAATGCCCAGCTTCCGTGTCTGTGGCAGACATTGCTAATCCATCATTGCACTCTTCCCTGCAGTGCCGAGGTGTGGCCTCAGAGTGGTTCTCAGCAAGCTCTCCAGGCAGCTACCAGTAATAGGATCTGGTGTTCACATTGAAACCTCTTTGCTGTGCTTGGTGCAACCTCTGGCTGCCATCTAAAACAAAGATTTGGGTCTTTAAAAACAAGCAAACACAAAGTGCATTATGGAAGAGCAGGAGCTTAAGAATTCAGGGTTGCAAAGGCCTGTTCAAGATTAGTGATTTCCACACTTTGTGAGCCTGGAACACACACAGAAATTATTCAGACACAAGGGAATTTCTCCCATTTTGAAGATTTAGATAGATGAGAAAATCCCTAAAGAACTCAGAGTTCAGCCACTTCCAGGGTCAGAATATCCGTGTGCTCTTTTGCATTATCCCAACCTAAATTCTACAAATGCTGGGCTCGTGGGTGCTCGGCTAACCGAGTTCTCAGCTAGGGCCTCTGGGATCCTCAGAAATATCTAAGGGGGGGAGAAAGGAAGTTTCCAGTTCCGTGCGGTTCATCTCTGCAGCTTTCCCTGCATTTTGGAGATGCTCGCAGCTGGGTCTGTGCTGAGGTAACATATATGATCCACTTCGCAAATACAGTACTTAAAACCACTCCTGCCCTGACTCCAGAGCAGTGGGCTCCAGCCCTCAGGACCCCAGAGGCCCTCTGGAGGAGGCTGCTCTGTAGTCGTCATCTCTGCCCCGGCTGTCCTCCACCAATGCAGCTGCAGAGATTTTTTTTTAAAGCTTCCTCCCCCAGCTCACTTAGAGACAGGGAGGGCGGAGTGTGGGCCCAGGGAGGTGGGAACTGTTTGCAGGTGGCTGTGGGGTTCGCCTGCAGCTCCTGCTACAGAGGGGGCTGGGGAAGCAGGGGGAGGCTCAGACTTGTTTTCCGGTGGAGAAGGGGAGCACCTCTGTCCCTTCTGCTTTCTGGCCTCTGGGCTCCTGTCCAGTCTTCTTGCAACAGCTTCAACTTGCCCTGGATTTTAAGCAACAGTTTGTGTCTTGCTCCCGTGACGCCCTTTGGATTGTTAGCACTTCCTCCCTGTCCCATTGGTTTACTGAGCCCCAAACAGTGCGGTTCACCATCCCTGTGGGCACTTGGATCATTGAAGGAGTTTTCTGAAATCTCGGTGAGGCTGGTGAATGCCATTCCGGGTACAAGTGGGACAGAGCAGTGATTCCGGGAGACGTAGGGAGGAAGGAGAGCCCCACATGGCCAGCCCAGAGAGAGCCCCCCCAGCACCCCCCTCAGGCCTCCGTGTGCCCAGTTATGAATTCATCAGCTGACACCCCGTTGACCACAAGCAAGCCAAAACACAGTGCAATGAAACTGCAAACAGAGGTAGTAAAAAAAGCAAAGCGGAATTTATACAGCCGCTGCCTTATCCTTTAAGTCCTTATTATCCCATCAGCATATAATCAGGTTAGAACTTATTTCAACATAAACCCAGGGATGGAGGCGCATGTGAAACGAGTGGGTCCGGGAGTTTCCAGCCGTCTCCCCCTCTCTCCTAAAGCCAGCTTTGCTGTGCCTCTGCAGTCAGGACAGACTTCTCTCCATTCCATGCCCGCTCCCTGCCCTCAGGGCCGACAGCAGTAATCACTGCGGCCTTCGGCCCTGCCCCGTCTAGACACTGCCTCAGGGTCCCTGTAGGAACTCTCTCAGCTCAATGGCAGGATAGTCACAGGATGGTCACACGCCCGCCCGTTCACTAGATTTAACCCATACAGGAAGCTGTCCTCTCCATCCCCCGGAGTGAACGAATTTATTCGTGAAAAAATAATTGAGATGTAGCATGTCAGCGTGAAAAGCACAACTGGCCAAAGGATCCCTGGGTAGAGCAAATGCATAAATCTCCCATCTGCTCTGAGAGACTTAACGAAACTCCTTTGTGATTCTGCTCGATGGGCTCCTCTCCACCCCTCCCTTCCTGACTGCCGAGCCCTCACTAGATCCCCGCAATGAGCTTTGGATTCTGTGCAGCAGTCTCTGCACCCCTGTGGTCCCGGGGAAATGAGTTATGCTCAGGGCTTGTCTGGACCCTCCCAGAGCAGCAGGCAGAAGAGGACGCCAGGCCTTTGTCCTCTCCTGTGCACATTCTTGATTTTCTCCCTCTGCGGGTGCTTCCCTCACATGGCGGGTTGTGCCACGTCAGGGCCACCCCTTTACTGGGCTTCACTTTATCTCGGAGCTTCTCCAGGAGCTGCTGCCAGGGATGCTGCCAGCAGAGAGTTGGTGCTGCTCCACCCAAGGTCCCTGGCATATTCCAACAGGTATGGGGCAGCGCTAACATCCGAGACCTGGTGCTTACAGTGGGGAATTCAAAGGGGAAGAGGGGCCCAGGGCACTGCACCCACAGTAAGGTGGTAAATATAGTAATTTATTTATTTGAGCTGGGTCCTAAAGGATGAGTGGGAGTTCGTAACAGATGCAGTGGGGACGAAGGCACTGACTGACACGGAAAAGAGCCCAATAACGTTAGCACGAGATGGGGTGCCAGCAGATGAACTCAAGTGGAGGCAGACAGATTAAAAGGCATGGTTGAGCAAGACTGGGAAGGGCCTTGAACCCATCCATCCACCCATTCATTCATTCCTCTTTCATGCAGTAAGCAGCATAGAAATGTAATGTGGGCCACATAGGTATTTAAAAATTTTTAGTGGTCACATAAGCAACAGCAAAAACAAAACAAAAAAGTAAAAAAGAAACCAATGAAATTAATTTCACAGTGCATTTTATTTAACCAAATATATTCTAAGTATTATCCTTTCAACATGTTATCAATATAAAAATCATTGAAATATTTTTACATTTTTTATATGTCTTCAAAATTTGGTACTTAAATAGATCTCAATTAAGATGCTAATTTTTCGTCAGAAATACTAGGATTGTATTTGTGTTTCATAAAATGTATGGTTGGAATAGTAGACTGACCGGGTATGTGAAATGGTGAGGGCCCAGGAGCAGGCTTCACGTAACCCTAACTTTTAAAAACATGCAGCTACGGATTGTCCGTGGTTGGTGCCCAGGTGCCGAATAGTGAGGGCCCCTGTGAAGGGAGGCTCTGCTTTAACGGGGACAAGATGAGGAGAGGAAGAGGGAGGCGCCCCGACCATGGTAAACACTCTGTGACAGCTCAGCTTGCTCCACAGGCCCCACGGCGCCAGCACGTGAAAAGCAAAACTAAAACTCAAGCAGCGTTTTGAACAGTGGGGGGAGATTCAGGAAAAACACCAGATCTGGGCCGTGTGTGAACCAGCCACCTGTTCTTTGGTTTCAAATTCATGGAACTGAAGAGGAAGAGAGACAGAACATGCAACTCCCCAAGTGGTGTGACTGCTTTCTGATTCAGCCTGGGCTCCCGACAGCTCCTCCTCGGAAATCGAGTGAAGCTCGGAAATGTAATCCTATTTCCTGCTCATTTGCTTTTAGCTATTTTTAAAAAATCTTTTTGCAGTCCGACCAGGACATCACTGACTGCAGGGTTTTATATCCACTCTCAGACAAAAGTCAGAAGCAAAGCCACTTACCTAGTTTTCCGTTCAATACATGAAAACCTCAGACCTTCTGCCGTTGCTGATTCAGAACGGGAGAGCTTTGGGGGCAAGGACAGGAAGAGACTGACTTTTCCCGTCCCTGGGGACAGAGGGTTGCTGTAAACTAACACCATAAGCACTGATCCTGGGGCAAAAACTTACTGTCTGTTGAAGAGCACCTTGTTTTCAAGTTTTAAGCCCCCTTCACACAGAGCAATCCATATGCCAATTCTGCAGCATTCTTGTCTGTGCACTGTGCTTAAGGATGTTCATCAGTAGCACCGAGTTGGCTGTTTTAAATGAGCTAATGTTGTAAGCAATGAGCATAGTTCCTGGAGCTTAGAAAGCACTCAGTAAGTTGGTTTCTCCCATTTCCTTAGAGTCACAGTTATATATGAAAATAGAAAAGCCAGATGTAGTTCTCAAATACTCTCCCTGTGGGGATTAGATGAGCAGGGAGAATCCACATTGAGACTCAGGGACTGTCCAAGTAACCTGCGGCGAACCGGGGGAGGAATCTGGAGTGGAGACAGAAAGCCATGGTCCCACCCGGTTCAGCTGGGCTTTTACTTCATAAAAATCCATTTCAGTGGAACTCCCATTTGACCCTGTGATCCCACTACTAGGAATATATCCCAAGAAACCAGAAACACCTATCAGAAAGGATATATGTAACCAGATGTTCGTAGCAGCACTGAGGGTCCCAGAGCCCAATTATTTGATTTCGTCTTTCAACCTCCTCATGAGCTTGGGCTCCACAGAGACCCACACCACAGCGCGTGACTGGCTGAGGGGCCACTAAGAAGCTCCCTTTCTTTAATTAAATAAACAACTCCCCTAAGGAAGCCACAACGCCAAAGGAGTGCTTGGGTTTTGGATGGAAATAGGAGGAAATGGTCCCGCTCAAAGCCTCCGCCGCCCAGCCCTCAGGAAATAACAAGGTGCACCCTCAGGGGCTTGTGCTATTAGCCCTTGTGCCTGAAACCAACTTGCTCGGTGTTTCTGGGAGAGAATCCCAAATCCTTACATCAAGTCCAGACTGTGGGTCAGAAAAGGGGCTCCAAGAGGGAGGGAGGGAAGAAAGCGGCTGGCAAACAAGGGCAGCAGTGAGGGCGGACGTGGTGTCAGGTGCTTCTGTATCTGCAGCTTCTGGCCTGTAGTCATCCTGTTGTCAATCCCTGTTCCCGCTTTGTCGCTGCCCTGGAGCTGTGAGCTCCTGGAGAGCAGGACTGTTGGGTCTGACTCCGCTCGCTGATCTCCAGCACAGGATCCATGGTTCGCACCCAGGAAAGGTTTGTGGGTTGAAAGGCGAGGGGAAGTGAGGTCAAGCACTAGGCAAGGTGCTGAGAGGGGAACAGTGGCAACGGCTAAGTCCCTGCCCCAGATGCAGAGCCACTTGCCAGGGAGACAAACAAGTTGCTGACAGGTCTTTGATTTTCCCATAAGGATGGAGATGACGTATGTATGGGGGGCAGGGAGACGCAAATATTTTTAAGCTTCAATTTTAATTTTTTCCTTATTGTGAGAAAGATCATAGTTACAGGAATGCATACAAGTACTATGTACTGTTTGAAGAATAATAAGTGGACACCTGTAGTCACCATCGAGGTCATGAGATAGAGTCCCGGAAGCTCCCCACGTCCCTCCCGATCACAACTCCGTCCTCTCCCCAAAAAGTCATCACAAGCCTGACCTTTCTGATAACCATGTCCTTGCTCTTGATTATTTTACCACCTATGTATAGCTCCCTCACCAATGTAACCTAGCTTTGCTTGTTTTTAACCTAACGTAAATTGAATCACACAGTATGCCTATGCTTTGGAGACTTGCTTCTTTCCCGCAACTTTGCCTGATTTAATCCATGTTTTTACATGTAGCTCTGTTTTTACATGTTTTCTCATTTCCGTAGTATTGCACTATATGACTATGCCGCACACTTTTTTTTAACTTTATAAAGATGGAACATTTTCTTTTACACATAGAGCTAAGACTTCACATCAAATGTATTTAGGACGTCGCTACCTGGTTTCCTCGGGCACCTTCACTTGTCTAAAACTCACCTGCTCGTCTGTTCCCCTGGCACTTGCTGCTTCTCCTGTATGCCTCTCGCTTAGCGGAACCACCTGGTGCTCAAGCCAGAAACGCGGGTGTCCCTCTGAGTCTATCTCCATCAGGCCCCACAGTATCCAGGCACCAGGTCTGTGACTGCCGCCTTTCCATTCCTCCGGCTGCCTCCTCTCCCTCCTGCTGCCTGCGTTAAAGCAGGAGTTTATGCCGCGACGCATGTATCCATCCACCGCCAATGGACTTTTGCAATTTTTCCAGTCTGGGGCTGTTACAAACAGGGATTCTATAAACATTTGTTGTATCTATTTTCAGGGATAGCCCAATGTTTTGTTTTGAGAACTCATGCTACCACTGGAATCAGTGAAGTCCCTAGTGTTGTGAAATAGAAACTAGTTTGCCCAAACAAGATAGACCAGAGTTTTAAAAAATCATTGTTTCTCGAAGTGTGGTCCAAGATGACCCACATCAGTAGCATCTACAGAATTTGTTAAATGTGCCGTTTAGAAGACCCAGCCCACACCTACCAAATGGGAGCCTCTGGAGATAAAGCCCCAAAAAGTTGCATTAAGCAAGCTTGCTACCCCCTCCTCCCTTCCCATGCGTCTTACATGGATACCCAAGCCTCTACTTTCCATGGATGTGACATATGTGATGGGACAAATCTCAGTGTTTGGCACGTTAGGAACTTTTGAGAGAGAGGAAGGGGTAGTGTGCCTTCCTGCCCAGGAAATCGGCTCCCTCCCCACTCCCTGCTGTAGGTCCCAGCTTTGGGTTTACAGCCCTCTCCCTCATTTTGCTGCAGGGCCCTCACCTCTGCCCTACTCCTACCCACCCTGCTCCAGAACACTCACAAGTCTCGCTTTTACTAACTGCAAAGTCTTTCCATGACCCTTCATAATACCTGACCTCAACAGGGAACCTAGTTTGTGTTGCTGTTGTTTTAAATAGACTTTATTTTTTAGAGCAGTTTTAGGTTCACAGCAAAACTGAGCATCGAGTTTTCATATACCCGTCTCCAAACACGCACAACCTCTCCCACATCAACATCTCCCGTAAGAGTTGAACATTTGTTTGAACATCAACCTATCATAATCACAGAAAGTCCAGTTTCTGTGGGTCTTGACAAATGTATGACAGGTGTCCACCATTGCAAGAGAGGTTTTACTACCATAAAAATCCTGTTAAACCCATTCTTTCCACTCCCCCCCCCACCCCCACACACACCTGATCTTTTTACTGTCTCCATGGTTTTCCTTTTCCCAGAATGTCATTTAGTGTGTAGCCTTTGCAGATTGGCTTCTTTCAGCCAGCATTTAAGTTTCCTCCATCTTTCCATGGCTTAATAATCTCATTTCTTTTGAGCACTAAATAATATTCTCTTGTCTGGATGCTTGTCCAACTAATGCAGGGCATCTTGGTTGCATCCAAGCTTTGGCAATTATGAAGAAAGCTCTTATAAACATCCATACGCAGGTTGTGTGGGCGTGTTTCCAGCTCCTTTGGGTAAATGCCAAGGAGTGCAATTCCTGGATCAGAGTAAGAGTTTAATTTTGTAAGAAAGTGCCCAACTGCCTTCGTAAGTGGCTGGCTATCATTCTGCGCACCCGTCAGCAAAGAACAGATGTTCCTGTTGCTCCGCATCCTCACCAGCATTTGGTACTGTCAGTTCTTTGTATTTTGGCTATTTTAATAGGTGTGAAGGGGTATCACATTGCTGTTTTAATTTAGGCACCTAGTTTTTTAACTGCTCGCTTTTATTTTATTGATTTGAGACAGAGACATTGATTTGTTGTTCCACTTGTTTACACATTCATTGATTGATTCTTCTGTGCCCTGACCAGGGATCAAACCCATAACCTTGATGTATGGGAAGGACACTCTAACCAACTGAGCTACCCAGCCAGGGCTGAACTGCTCACTTTTTTGTTTTTTTGGTGTCTTGTTTTAAAATTTCGCACAGCAAGTTATAAGCAGGCAAAACTTTATTATCAAAAATGGTCCTACTTACAAATGTACCTTAAGACTAACTTTCTCCTTTTTCCTTTTAAATATAGATAAATGCGGAGGGGACACCAGAGGAAGTTTTTCTTCAACTCTGCACAGCTATTGACTCTATTTTCTGAAAACAAAATGCATGTATGTAAGGAGAGTGAAGACAGAGGAATATATTAAAAGGTCCATACCTTAATTACGTTTCAGGTTAAACCTTTTGTGTCCCCTTCCAATCCTGACATTGCTGTTTGCTCCCCGGCTTGGCCCATCGGAGGCGTCTGGAAACCATGCATGGTGTATTTGCTATCACCCAGCCTCTTCGTGATCCAGACAGCTGTCCACTCACAGCACGCACACCTTCCTACCATACAGGCTGCACCTCAGAGCAGAGTTCATGGACAGCAGTGCAGTGCCAGTCTGTCAGCTGTGCCCTCAGGACTTGTTAGAGTCTGATCATTTGGTTCTCCTCTCATCAAATAGGGAGTTAGCGCCCCTAAATTCCCCACTGTATCTTCCTCCCGCCAAGTTGCCTGATGAAGTCCCTGAATTTGAGGGGGGAAAGGGGGGGCTTGCAAGCTGGGGCATCTTCCTCTGGTAACTGTAGCTCAGAGCCAGAGAGATTAGGATGACATGCCAATTATTAGAAATCTGATTCAATTTGAAAAACATAAAAAATGTGAAACTGTACAATTTTTCCAAGACAGCGAAACCCAGACTAGTCACCAATAACATGTCTCTACTCATTTTTATGAAACTGGCTACTTGGAATACTGTCACAGTGGCTAAGAGCACTAACTGGAGAAAACTGGCCTCTCCTATACCTGGTGGTGCATTTTGGCAATTATACGTTAATACCAATGACTAAACGTAATTTAAAAGCGTGAGGTGGTTTATTATTGCATCCACCGGACTAATGTCAACTTACAGTTTTGATTTTAAATGATCACCTATTTACTTAACACTGTTGCCAAACAAGTAAGAATTACAGTAACAGTAATAAAACTGATGTGGGTGGGAGGATCATGTCAGCACACAATGTTTAACAGATCTCGATGCTATATTTGTTTCATAATGGCTTTTTTAAGGGGTTTGCAAACCTTATCATACCCAAATGTAAAATTGTTTCCTCGCATCAAACCAGTGAAGTTTGGGTTCTCTGTTGTGTTATCGTTGCCAGAATCAGAGCTTCTCATGCAGTCTACTGGAATAAATGCACCTTCCTCTACCAGTGGCTCTCAACCTTCCTAATGCCGCGACCCTTTAATACAGTTCTTCATGTTGTGGTGACCCCCAACCATAAAATGATTTTCGTTGCTACTTCATAACTGTAATTTTGCTACTGTTATGAATCGTAATGTAAATATCTGATATGCAGGATGTATTTTCATTGCTCGCGACCCACAGGTTGAGAACCGCTGCAAGTCAGTCATGACCAAAAGACCCTGGTTTCAATTTGCATGATTATTTTTTTCCTCTTCCTTGTGCCGATAAGAATCCATTTCTGGGGCAAAGCTGTATTTTTAAAGTCGTCTTTTTTTTTTTTTTGAAATGGATATGTACAAATAAAGTAAATGGAACACAGGATAACACTTTTTTTCTATTTATTTGCAACTCGCGTCATTCTGGAAAGCATTTGAAGCCTTATTCAACAGAATTAGCAGCAAACACAGTAAGAGCTGAGATGTATGATATGCTCATATGATTTTAATTTTGGCCATAGATCAGCTTTGAGAAATTACAGAAAGAACTCTCAGTATATTCACGATACATGGTAATTTTCGTTATTTCCTTTTGCTCTAGCAGTCATTCTTAAACAGAAATGTCAGTGTTTGCTAAAGAAGAAATCCAATTTCTTTGGTTACAATTATGCCTCTATTAACACAAAGAGGGGCCTGTTCCTTCCACTCACACAGTTGTCAAATACTTTAATACTACCCCAAGTTGTCACACACTTGATAGGGGAGCACACGGAGTATTTGAGCAAATTAGAAAAAGACAGTCACAGGGTGAAAATGGTCAGTTGTGCCAGAATACACAAAATGACTCTTTGTAGGGAGGAACATTCTTTAAACACATACCGCGGTGTTGGCAAACGCAGTCCACACCCACCACAGCTCTGGCAGCCTGGGGAGGGGAGAGGGAGGGAGGCAACAGGGCAGCGGACTGCAAGTCAGCAGGGTACATGGCTTTGCCCCTGAAGAGTACCTAGAGGTGCAAATCAAGTCTCCTGCAGAGCTACAAAACACACTACTGATCTGCATGGCCTTTAAGTCATAGGATTTGAAAGCAGGAAAGGACAGTGGAGATCTCTGCCTAGTAGGAGAGCCTGTGTGTACGCAGAAAACCTCAGAAACATGGTCCAACTCCTTTACAATGGAGGCATGCCGGCCTCACCTCATCTGGCCCCGTGCCTCTCACCCCGCCAATCACCACTCTCCTCTTGCTCGCTTGGCCAAATCTAAAGCCCACTTAATATTGCCTAGACAAGCCAAGCTCTACTGGCAGGGCCTTGTTGCCATCCTCCTGCCTGTCCCTCCACATTATCTGCAGGGCCAATTCCCTCGCCCCATCAGGTCTCTGTTCCAGCCTTCCCTTGTCATTGAGGCGCTTTTTCACTAGTCCATCTAAAATGACAGAATGGTCCCCATTCTTCCACAGTTTTTCTTCAAACATTATTTTTCTTCACAGCATTTATATCTGCCTGGAACCATACTTTTTATTGCTGGTCTTCTGCATTAGACCGATAAGCTCTGTGACAGCAAGCTTTGTATCCTCAGTCCCACACAAAGCAGTGATTATTGAAGGCTGACATTTAATCCTCTAAACCTGCGTTTTCTCAACTACACAGTAGATATCATAATAAGCGACCACACAGAGGTCTTAAGAGGACTGAACAACTTAAAAATACATGTAAATTACTTACTAGTTCCCAGTGCTCAATACAAGGTGGTTCTCTGGCAACAGTTACCGAGGGCCTCACTTCCACAATTGGGACTAGTACCCGGAATTCCACTCTAGTGCCCCTTCCGTTACATCAGTCTAAAACCATGGCTGAGATGAAGATCCATGCCTAACTGGGTCCCAAAGAGGACCAAAGTCTTCTCAGCCACCAAGGTGACATCCTCCACATAAGACAGGACACAATTCCTCAGTCCCCTCAGAGCCCAGTAAAGATCTCCCCAGGCAAGTCCTCCTCGGTGCCACACTGCTCAGACATAGGGGGCGTCTCTTAGAGAAAAAATGTAGCTCACTAAAACATGGGTCATATTATCAAAAATATTTATTGAGAATCTAAGAATCAGATCAAGGAATAGACAGACATGGATGGTCTCTGTCCTCACAGAGCTAATGTAAAACCACTGTCAAAAACCCACTGAATGAGCTGCATGAACTGTGAAGAAAAAAATGTAATCCTTTTTGTGGGCTCATTCAACAGAAGCGTATGTTTCACCCAGTGAGAAATAACAACAGCCCCGGCCGGTGTGGCTCAGTTGGTTGGGCGCTGTCCCGACACTGAAAGGTTGTGTTCAACTCCCCGTTAGGGCACATGCATGGGTTTCGGGCTCGATCCCTGGTAGGGGGCGTGCAGGAGGCAGTCGATGGATGTTCTGCTCTCACACTGATGTCTTCTCTCTCTCTCCCCCTCTCCTTTCCTCTTTCTGAAAATCAAAATATTTTTTAAAAAGAAATAAAAATAAGTACTTTACAGCCTAAAAGGACAATGCCTCCATAAACTTATGTGCACCTAGAACAATGGTCTTCCAACTTTGCTATCCACAGTAAAAAATAACTTATGTAGCATGCTATGTTATATCTATAACTAAAAAAGACATTTCACAAAATGCTTATCTACTATACGTAATGTACTATTTTCTCTATTTCTTTCTTTTTTTAAAGGTTCCTCAAACTTCAGTAAATTGTTATGTTCAGAAATGGACAAGGCATACTATTAGGTTAAGCAAGAGGCGCCAAACATGCATGGAAACAAATGCTGCCTGAGGCAGGAGATGCCAAGTCCTAATCCCAACTTTGTCAGCGGTTCTCAACCTGTGGGTCGCAGCCCCTTTGGTGGTAGAACGACCCTTTCACAGGGGTCGCCTAAGACCATCCTGCGTATCAGAAATTTACATTACGATTCATAACAGTAGCAACATTACAGTTATGAAGTAGCAATGAAAATAATTTTATGGTTGGGTCACATGAGGAACTGCATTTAAAGGGCCAGAAGGTTGAGAACCACTGGCTTAAATCTTATGGCCATGTTTGCTGCCAAATTGGAATATGTAAATCCTATGTATGTGTGTCTTTCTAATTCATCATGGCAGACCATCTCATCTCAGTGCTTCTGCCTCATCCACAGATAATGCTTCTCCAATCTGTGCTATAAACCTGGATACGTGCTCAGGTTTGTACTGTACTCTAGGAACCATGACACACCAGGAAAAAGACTGAAAAGCAACCCCTGCACATCTCCACCTCTACCACCTCAGTGGCAAACAAAGCAATGAGGCAGACGCTGACTCTGGAGCAATCTGTTTATGTTAAAATCCAAGCATCTCACTTTACTCACTGTATGATCTTGGGCAAATTATTTAAGCTCTCTGGCTAGATTTCCTCATATGAAAACAGAATAAATGAACCTGCTTCATAAGGTTGTGAAAATTAAAACCGTTACTATATGCTTGCTTGGCACATAGTAAGCACTGTATCAGTGTTTGCTATTATTATTAGTGCACATCACACCAACCAAAACCTCCTCTGCCTAAACCATAATGCACTGGTTTTAGGTGTCACTAAAAGTTCCTTCTGTTCTTATCAAATACTTGAGCACATTATTTCAGGAAACACTACATCTAACCTACTGATTACTACTTAATAAGCAATGCTTTAACTAGTAGGTCTCTGTTGCCTCTTATAGCCAACACTTCTTTGTAGGAGACGGAAGGCCTATTTGCAAATATGACAGCTCTGCCCATTCTTGCAGTCCTCAAATTAAAGCAGTAACAGCACATTACCACTCCTACTACTGTTCCGGGCCTTTTAAAGCTAAGAGGACTATTTGCTTGGAGCTGAAAAAAATGCAAAACTAATACATCTTTGCTCAAGCAGAAAATAATCCTCTTTGCACTCAAAATTCTCAAAAATATTTCCCCTTGAAAAATACATTTAAGTAGCTTTTATTTGTCTACTAGAGGCCCGGTGCACAGGATTTGTGCACTGGTGGGGGGCATGGCCTGCAGGGATCAGCTCATTGTGGGAGCACTGCTCATCCCAGTCAGCTGAGCGGCTATGGACCCACCCTTTGAGCGGCTGCTCCCACTGTGGTAGCAGCTGCTTATCTCGGTCAGCTGAGCAGTGCTCCCACTGTGGGAGCACACTGACCACCAGGGGGCAGCTCCTGCATTGAGCATCTGCCCCCTGGTGGTCAGTGCACATCATAGCAACTGGTCGACCAATCGCTGGGCTTTTATTATATAGGATCTGTTGTTTATTCTGTCTACATAACAACTATACCATTCATAGCCCTCTTCCAAAGCATACTTCATACTTTATGGGATTTTTGAATGGTTCTCCAGAACTAATTGGTATTATTTTTATACAAATACAGAATTTACAGAGGTCACCACCCAGGGGTACTGTCTTGCTACAGGTTGATGATAGATCTTCTGGCATATTCACTTAACATCTAGTATCAAAATGCCGAGGAATCTAATGATCCCCTTTTTCTTCTCCCAACTATTAATTCCAGGGTGAATGTTAAGCTCAACTCCATTTCCTCATCGATGTTTCTAGCTCTCTACCCCTCTCCCTTCCTCTCTGTAAAAAATCAATAAAATATATATATAAAAAAAAAAAATTATATTACTTTTCTGAATTAAAAACATTCAGGGTATGGTTTTAGTACCCTACAATGTGTTAAAAGAGGCCTAGTAAATAATGTTCCCTTGATTTAAAATTAGAAAAAACAGGAGACTCTCACAATTGGGTCAGTATAATTCTTAATCTTAGAATATATATACTGTCTTTTCTAACAATCAATAATAATTTCCATGGAATACAGGGTTTATCAAAAGCCACCTATTTAAATTAAATACATGGGGGCTTATTTTCATAAAAAAGAATGAGTAAAATTTTCCACCTGTTTAGTTTTCATATCTAAATAAAACTGCCTTTTTCTTTAGCCATAGTATGTGTTCTTTTGTACCTAGTTTATTATTTAGTGCTTCGGCACCATCTTTTACAGAGCTTCTCAAGTTCACTTTTGTTTCCATAATAAAGTCCTTACTCTTTTGAAAGGACAGGTA